CATTATGAGTGGAATGTTATGCCTTTTGGTTTAAAAAATGCTCCCTCTGAATTCCAGAAAATAATGAACGAAATTTTTAATCCCTACACTTCTTTCACCATTGTTTACATTGATGATGTTCTTGTTTTTTCTAAAGATATCGACCAACATTGGAAACATCTACATATCTTCTTTAAAATCATTAAAGATAATGGTTTAGTTGTTTCCGCTAGAAAAATAAAACTCTTCCAAACCAAAATACAATTTTTAGGATATTCTATTAACAAATGTACTATTTCTCCTATCCATAGAGTCATTGCCTTTGCTGATAAATTTCCTGATAAGATAAAAGACACTAAGCAATTACAAAGATTTCTAGGATGTCTTAATTATGTTTCTGATTTCTATAAAGATCTTGCCTATGATAGAAAAATTCTTAGTGATCGATTAAAAAATGATTGTACCGAATGGACAAAAAGACATTCTGAAGCGGTCAAAAGGATAAAAACTAAAGTAAAAACATTGCCTTGTTTATCTCTTCCAGATCCTACAGCTTTTAAAATAGTTGAAACAGATGCATCTGATTTTGGCTAGGGGGGGGTTCTTAAGCAAAGAGTTAACAATAAAGATGTTCTAGTAGCCTTTACTTCTGGTGCTTGGAATGACACTCGAAAAAATTATTCAACAATTAAAAAGGAAATGCTTGCTATTGTTCTTTCTATCAATAAATTTCAAAGCGATTTATTAAACCAAAAATTCTTACTTAGAATCGACTGTATGTCTGCCAAATACGTTATTAATAAAGATGTTCAAAACTTAGCATCTAAACAAATTTTTGCTAGATAGCAAGCTATCCTTACTGTGTTTGATTTTGATATAGAATTTATTAAGGGTGATAATAATAATTTACCCGATTTCCTCTCCAGGGAATTTCTACAAGGATATGGCCCTGTCAAAATATTATTACCAAAAGGCTCTCTCACATGAAAAAGAGAGATCTTCTTCTACTCCCTTAACACAAGACAATAAGGGAACTTATTCTCAATTTTATTAGAAAACATTGGATAAACTTGTCATCCTCGAAACGGCTGATCAGACTCTTTTACCGATTGAAATGGCAACAAAGTTCCTTCCCAAGGAATATTACTATGTTCCGTCCATGTTTGGTAAAACTACTCTCTACTATGAGAAAATTCTTAAAGAAACAGAAAATGCATTTGCTCATCATAGATACCGAGGTAAAGAATATAGTTACTCTCGGCTAAGAATATATCGTATTATTCCATTAAATGAATGGAACTCATATGGAAATCCCAACGTTCCGCGAAAGTTTAAAGAAAAAACTCTAATTGGTCCCCAGCAATGTAATTATTGGGACTATCAAGTAGCTTGGGAACATATCCTGTATATTCAAAATCATCTGGGTAAGCATTCATGGTAGATACGTTTTATGAATCAAATGTGTCTACCAAATTGGTTTATTGAAACCTTTTGGGCTAAATTTGGAGCCATCAAAGAAATTATGCCAAAATAGATCCTTAAAAAACAAGGAAAAATATATCTCCACTAGATATGCTTCAAATATCTATGGAATTTGGTCTCCCTTGGATTATGCAATGGGATTGGGATTGTGTTAATGACACACCATCTTATTTCGCAAGGAGTATTTCTGTAAAATGGTATGATCGATGGAGTATTGCAAACTATCTTAATGGAAGAAAAAGCTCTTTGCTCCCAGACTATAGTCCAAAATATGGCATAAAAGCAAATCCTAGAAGGTCCGATATGAAGGCTATACAAGAAAGCCTTTATGATAAATTTGCGCTACAATATCCGAATGCAAGTGAAGAAAAACTAAAATCATTAACTTATGATGAAATGCTAATGATACTAGCACCAATGGATACTACGTCCTCTACTTCTGAACCTACTGAGTCATCTGAGCCTGTTAAACTAAAAGAAGAACCTGTGCTTGAAGATGCTCCTATGGATAGTGAAGAAGGTTTTGACAACAATGGCGACGATTGTTACGGAATTGATCTATGATGTACCATTAATTTATGGTAAAATTCGCCATTAACTTATGGTAAAATTCATATACCATTAACTTATGGTAACTACTGATTAATATCAACGACTTAAACACTAAGTCGATCACTCATTATCCTTTTCAAAAAAGTTTAAAAAATTACTAACTTTTATACATATTTTATTCACAGCTAAATAAAGCAGACTGCAGCTAAAATAAGAGCCTACATACCTACGACCACTCAGCTTTGGATGCTTAAGGAAGAAGGCATTTTTTGTCAAAAAGGCTAAGCTACTCTACATCTCTTAGGTTTTGACAAAATTAAAGACGGCGGGACTTACAAGCTTTGTTAAAATATGAAAGGAATCTTTTGCATAGTTCCGAAGAAAGTCTATAAAAGGAGAATGAGTTGATGAGTTCGGGGAGGCGTTTTGGAGAGTTGAAGTCCTATCCTCTCTAGTGAAATCCCTCCAGTTTCATTTTTTAAGTTTTAAGTTTTAGTTTGAGTTTGAGTAAGGTTTGCTTTTAATCTTTCTCTTGAGTGTTTGTAAAATAAGTGTGCTCCACTACTACTAGCTCCAACGGATCTCCCAGCTTTCGGTTTGTAAGTATTTAAGTTTGTTTTCTTTCCAGTTTGTAAATCTCTTATGTAAATACTATCTAGTTTGCTTCCATTACTGTTCATTTCCGCCTCTGTTACCGTTCATTACTGTTCACGCGGTTACTGTTCATTTTTTACTATTCATTTCTATATTTTCTTATTTTATTTTTGATATACATGTGAACGAAGAAGAAGATATAGCTATAAACAATAGATATATCCTCTCCTCCGTCTAGACAGTATTCCCCACGAGCTAGCTCTATCGTATCAATGCTAAACAAGTCCTGGTCAAGGTTGGTATTTCTTTAACTGTATTCCTTTTTCTTGAGGATTAGTAATAGCATTAATGGTCTCAAGAATGAAATGTTCATGTTCATCTAGGGTATTTAATTCAGAAGAACTATTATAAGATGTTATAGATGAATTATCAGAACTATTTTCCTTTTTAGAAGTGCATAGATTATTGCACTCTTCGTTAGAGGAAGAAATATCATCAATAAGATTTAACGTATTAATAAGTTTTTCGATTTCATCTTCAGTAAAGGCATTGGAGTTTAATATTAACTCGTTAATCTTCTTTTTTGTTTCCTTTTGAAAACATTTATTAGCATAATGTCCTTTTTGTTTACATTTATAACATGTAGGAGTCTTTGTAGTATCATTTCTATTTTTCCTAAAATTTCTTTTAGGAGCCTCGGTCCACGTCCCGAGGAGCGAAGCGAAGCTCCAATCCAAGAACGTTTGGACCCACTACGAAAGCCCCAAACAACGCAACATGCTGGGGGTCGCCCCAAGCGCACTACTTTGCGCATTGAAGTTCAGGAGCCCGCTGAGAATTCACGCCCAAAAAGGCATGTCTCAAGGCGCGTGACTCTTGAAAGTCCAAGGAAGGCAATTCTCCCTCAGATGGAAATGTTATCATCTGATGATGATTACGTTATACCTGAGAAATCATGCCAACACATGATAGGTTGCTCTGACTTTCAAACGAACGAGCTGTACTATCTTGCTGGGGGTACGAACAAAGCCAGAAAGAGAAGTTCTCAAAGGCTAGAAGCTCAGTGCCCTTGTTCAAAGCTCATTCGGGCGGTACTGTCTGAGTGCAACTGCATCAAGGTAGTCCCAGAGAGAATCTCAGTGTTCGAAAGGCTTAATACCGAAACGCCAAAACCAAGGCATAGGCGTTTCCGACAAAGAAGAACGGTGGTTGAAGATGAAGAATTCCCGAGGGTCACCGCTAATATGACCAGCAAAGAGACATCGACACAGATTGATCTCAAATCGTTTCTGGAAGCGTCCCGGCGTGTAACCCGTCTGCAGTCCGGAGCCATCGCACGAGGAACTTATGGTAGGGTTCGGACAAGATTGCCTTCGGAAGATGAAGAATCGGATTCCTGCTCTGCTGTCGCATCGGACAATACAGTGTCCAGCGAAGGACAACCCCGCGAATCATTTATGATAAGCGCGGAAGAAATGGCCAAGATGCTTGAAGACGCTTTGGCTAAGCAGAAAGAAAGTTTCAAATTCGAGATGGAGATGGCCATGCAGCAGATGAGAGAGATGCATGAGCAGCAAATCCATGCATTCAGGAACCAGCAAAGTGAATCGAACCGCCGTAACCAGATTATTCAGGAAAAGGAGTACGCAGATAGGATGAAGCTCACAATGCCAATAACCCTCCTGTCAATACAGGGGGTGGTAACGAGGATGCCAACGAAGATACAAGTGAAGACTTGAAGATCAAAGATCTCGAGAGCAAAATCAACACATTGATCTCCGCTCAAGAGACGAAGAAAACAGGCATTCCCTGTCCATACCCACGAGAATGGGAATCGATCCCCTATCCGGCGAAGTTCAATCTAATCAACTTCACACCGTTCGATGGGAAGGGTTCCCCCACTCAGCATGTGATTTATTTCAAATCACACCTGGGGGTAATCTCTGGCAATGAGCCTCTGATGCTTCGATTTTAGCAGATATAGATATTAAGTTTTCCTTAGAGAGACACATCTGTATCAATATCTGTATCCATATTTGTGATTAGTAAGCGTATATGGATATATGATAAACATCGTATCCGAGCAGTATTCGAACCGTGGGTGCATAGTCATTACAAAATGCACCCGCATAGAAGAATATACGATTCTAGTCATTAGAATTGTGAATGTCTGGTTAGATGGTCGAAATGGGGCCTCGTTAGTACGTCCTATAGAGCAATTATCTGACCTGGGGTCTAAACCTTCATATACCCGAGGCCATGACAACCATAATTCAATGGGAAGTAAGGTAATCATACATCTGAAAAGATAGATACAATTTTCTCTACTGTAAGACATGAAAACCTTAGCAAGTCTTAAGTAGATTATAGTTAGATAAACTGGTCAGTAAAAATGTAAATAAAATGTGTGATATGTAATTACATATATAAGATATTTAGGTGTAAGTACAAATATCAAAGTTTGTCGGTCATTACAGATTCTCCATGCAGGGTAGAACAGTTCATAAATAACATTATAATCATCCATGAAATTTAGAAAACAGAAAAACTCACTTTCCTCGTCAAATTTCTTTCAACCTCAGTAGCTTAAGATCACATCCTTGCATCCTCGCTGAATTTCATTGTATTTGTGTCCTTAATTTTAGTCAGGAAACTAACAGAAAAGCAAATACTGAGAGTTACAGACTAGTTAAGGTGCATGTACCTAGAGGGACCTTACTATCAGTTCCATGCTGGTCCAGAGGTGCTTGCGGTACTGTATTTGTGTTTATCAACACGAGTATCGTGATTTCATTTATCTTAGCTCGAACGAGTATAATACAGTAGGATAGAATTGAGGAGGAAGAAGCAGCGACCATGTATCAATCTGTGGCACTTGTAGCATGTTGTTGTACTTTGCCCCAACTTAATATTTACAGGGTGCATATATGCCATCTAACATATTTTTCAGGAAATCATGAGATAGTTGACATGGAGATTTCAAGAGGTTCGCCAGGCTTAGGCTCCAATACATTAGCATTAGGAATCTCTTTGCGCAAGAGTTCCTGTACCAAAATGGTTGAAAAGATAGTTAGTAAACAACAGTGCACTATCAATGTCAAAATGGCAAAGATGGGAGTATAAAATTAATCTAGAGACCTTACTAAATCCAGCAAAACTGTCTTCCAAATTTCTACAATTTTAATGAGCACAAGATTCAATTGAGAAATATGCATTGATGAAATGTTGATCATCCATACGGATTAGAGAAGTGAGACCTCACTTAAGTGCAAGTAGCTAGAGTCTCTTCTAACTGTCAATGGTGGTTTGACTGGGTCACTGGTGACTAAGCCTCTATAAGGAATTTGTGAATCAAAATTAAGGAATATTGGTCAAACATGTAATAATCAATTAAAAAAGAGAAGTAAAACCCAGTACAAATGATACATTTTTCATATCACGTGTGCCTCATAATGCATCTTCTCATCTAAGAAGCGACTAGCCTCATAATGCATCTTCTCATCTAAGAAGTGACTAGCATAAAGCTAAAGGTATCATGTGCATGTGCTGGTTATTTATCCAGGCATACACTGCCTTGATGCTTAGTTAGATTTAAACAACGTACTCATATACATCGGCAAAATATGATGTTACTGCTTACTGACCTTAAATGATTCAACTGAGCCTTGAGCACTGATGATACTTGAGAGTATTCCTCTGGCATCCAGGTCACCGTTTTTCATTGGAACTACGTACCTAGAAGAAAATGATTATTATTTCACTAACAGAAGCCTGAATACTCTAAAAATTAAAAGTTTGGGCTTTGGATACATACTTTGCTTGCAGTAACTTGGCCAGATTAACTGCATCCTCTTGTCCAGATACCAGAGTGAATCCAGGCAACAGTTGTTTAATAACTGGTGTAATGATTACATCGGCCTGGTAATTCTGCAGAAAGGACTGGTTGTATACACAGTGTGGTTCGTAATAAAGACTTAATTGACTTTGCCTGCATGTGACTATGTACCTATAGACAGTTAATATTTAAAGAATCAATTTTTATGCAATAACTGAGATTTGAAAGGTACACATTAGAATTTATGAAAAATAAATAAAATATACACAAAAGTAACAGGATGCAAGAAAAACCACAAGAATTCAAGTTGAGGTTCAAAGAACTAGTGGTTTAATCCTTTTCCTGACAATATAGTTGTAAAACCCCAAAAATTTTGAAAATATTATTATAAATGATAATAAATGAGTTTTATTATGATCGGTGATCATTCTAGGATGAATGGATCAGATTGGAATCGATTTGAGATCGATTCACAGTTTCAGCCTCGGTATCACGAGTCTACTTAAAACTGATACTATTTTATTTTTAGAAATTTTTCTATTGATCAGATGAGCACGAGATTTACGCCATTGATCTTAGAATGTCAAGAATGTGTTGTGGGTAAAGTTTCATTGAGTTCTGACGACGGAGACTGAAACACTATTTTGAGACGGTATCGCGTCTACTGACATCCATTATATTTGTATTTTTAATAATTTTTATGTTGACCAGATAAATATGAGAATTACACCATTGATCGTAGAATGTTGAGACGTTCTTGTGGGTAAATTTTTATTACTTTCTGAGAACGGAGATTTGAAACTTAATTTTTTAAATAATATAAAATTATAAATATTTTTTTTTCCTTTTCTTTTCTTCTCTCCACCTACCCCCACCTACCCCGCTCCTCTCTTCTCCTATAAAAAGGGGCCCTCCCCTTCACTCTTCTCACACAGCAGAAAGAAAGAAGAGAGAGAAAGAGAAGGAGAGAGAGAGAGAGAGAGAGAGGAAGAAAAGAAAGAGAAAGAAGAAGGGGGGGTTTTGGTAATTCGAAAAGGAGGAACAGATAGGGATTCCAATTTTAGAGATCAATAAAAGGCAAGTTCATCTCTTTCCAAACCTATCCCCAGTAAATTTTGATATTGATGAATATACATGATATTGATGAATATACATGATATTGATGAAAAGACATGATATTGATAAAAATTGATGAATGGAATATAAGACCAAATTCCTAAAGACATGATTATTGATGAAAAGATATGATATTGATAAAAATTGATGAATATACATGAGATTGAAGAAAAGACTTGATATTGATGAAAATTGATGAATAGAATATAAGACCAAATTTCTAAAGACATGATATTGCTAGCTAGAACTATACGTACATGTCTACCGCTGGAAATACTAGTACTATTTTTTATACGTATGATACTATTCATACGTACGACACTATTCATAAATACTGTTACTATTCATATGTACGGTACTATTCATAAATACCGTACTGTTCATACGTACGACACTATTCATGGGTACTATTCATACATACTATGGTACTATTCATAAATACCGTACTGTTCATATGTACGACACTATTCGTAAGTACTATTACTATTCATACATACTGGGGGTACTATTCATACGTACTGTTATTGTTCATACATACGACACTATTCATAAGTACTGACACTATTCATACGTATGGGTACTATTTATACATGCTGTTACTATTCATGCATACGGTACTATTCATATGTACTGTTACTATTCATGAGTACGAATACTAGTCGTAAAGTACTGTTCCTATTAGTAAGTATTGCTACTATTCACAATTAGTTAATACAGCAGATAGTCGGGGTTGGTAACCCTGATCATTTACTGGACAGTTTGATCCAGTTTTATTTTCTGGAGTTTGTTTGCGCCATTTGTGACGCGATCGTGGAGTTTGAGCCACTTGATGTTATACTTACAGTCATGAATATGACGAAATACGCATTTGAGTATCCCACGAGGATTATGATGAATTGAGATCTATTTACTTGTGGGTTAGTACACCGCAAATGAGACTGCGATGATACATATTTGTCGATCCGTACTGTGATGCGATGATACCTATTTGTCGATCCGTACTATATGATGCGATGATACATATTTGTCGATCCGTACTGTGATGCGATGATACCTATTTGTCGATCCGCACTATGATGCGATGATACATATTTGTCGATCCGTACTATGATGCGATGATACATATTTGTCGATCCGCGCGATGATGCGATGAGTTGGAAGAAGTTCAGAATGATAATATTATAAACTATTTACATGAGTATTTGGCGGATGCCAAAAGTGTTTCTACTCATTGTTGAGATACTTTGCTATACGAGTACACGAGATACATATGCTGATGTCTATTATGATGCTTTACTTTCCAGTTATATTTTGATTGCTTAGTTCAGGGTTAATATTTAGTTATTTACTATCTGAGACATACGGTATATACATGAGGGTTTCCTTGTTTGGATTATTTCGCTCGACGTACTACGTCTCAAGTTGTAAGTTTCTAAATATTAATTCCATTAGATACAGGGAAAATGATCTAGGTAGACTATGCTTAATAGATAGAGCCTCCACTTCATCATCTAGCAGCCCTTCCCCTGGGGGCGGATGGAGGTGAACTTGCTGTAGCGCTCTGACGCTCTTGTTGTTGTTCTTTTTCTTTTATTTTATTTTCTCATTTCAGGCGGCTCAGAGCATCGGAGAGTCGCAGGGTGACGGAGTTCTTGCATAGTCGCCGTCGCGTATTTTTACTAGTATGGACTCCACAGTGATCTTATGTTTCCATTTAGTCATTTGAGTTTGTACTCATATTGTTAAGGCAATATGCCTTAGTACGATTTCTAATCGATTCATGTTGAGACATATCATGTTATTTTAGACTCCAGATGTATATCAGTTGTATTCCAGTTTAGTTTATTTGGGACATGATTTCATTTATGAGATATATCTTTCTGTATCATGTCTATAGTATTTATTTCCCTTATTTGCCTGTTTTGTACCTTCATTTATATTGGTTTCCACTAGAGGATATTACTGTGATTGGTGAAACATGTTGATGCACAGTGGAGGTGCATGACAGGTTTGACATCTCTGGGTTCACCTTGGACTGCATCCAAGTGTGAAAACAGGGGCGTCACATAGTGAATACCAAATATAAAAATTAACCAATTAGAGATACCATATGAACATTATATGTTTACCCATTTTCCGGCCGTTGCCAAGGAGGCCCTAGTACTGGGCCAGCAGTAGCTGTGATATTGACCTTTGAGCCATTCTCGCCTTCCAGTTCAGAGCTTTGTGAAGGTTCCAAATATGTAACCTGCAGAAAAATTAATCTACTTTACATTCAGGGAATACTACTAGTTTAATTCAAGCATTAAATGAAATATGAAACATGAAATTCAAAATATAAAGCTTTCCGGTGGTTTACAATGCTAGTAACACTTGTGTTGGTTTTGATGATTCTTATTGAAGGTTTGTTCGTAAGCCCAACACTCTTTAGTAACTTGGATGGTAATCAACTTGTAGATTAAAAAATTCATATTTGGAAAAAATACCTAATTGTATCATTTGTAACACTATTACTATCAGTAAGCAATCATTGAGTCAATCATCACTCATGCTTTCTCAAGATTAGTGCGCAAAGCCCTAATGCTTTTGTTTAGCTGATTATCAACCTTGTTGGTTAAGAGCTTGAAAAAAAAATCCAATCCCTCAACTAGCAAAATCAAAAGCATGAGATTGCAGATAGAGTAATACCCTATAAACATGAGGAATTAAGATGCTCCACTTCGTATCTTAATTGATATCAGTAATAAGATTCTAATAACAATGATTTTCCATTAGGGAGGTATACGCCTATTTAATTGAAGTATCAACAAAATGATATGGGAAGAAGTTCTAAAAAGGTGGGACAATAACAATTTTGTAGATGGGTATATTTCCCCCGCACAAAAAACAGCAAGGTAGGAAGCAAACTAATTTGCTGCACTCCAATTGGTAAATTATGACATTTTCTATCCAGACAGTGTTAACTAAATCAAATTAACAGCTAGAAATGAATATCACAAATTAAAATAACAAATTTATTAGTCCACAGGCTCAAAACAGGGAGTTTCAAGCTTACATTTCTAAAAAGGGGGCTCAATATCGGCTCTGCATTCAGGGTGGAGATCACCCTCAAATCAGGAACCCTCTCAGAGAGCGGCCTCAACGTCTTCACATGGCAATGATCGTCCAGGCTCTGCGTTATCACCAAGCAGTCGAGCTTCGGCAAGTCCTCAAGCTGCCCGCAATAAAACACCCAGAAAATATTGAAAGACAAAAAAGCCTTAAAATTACACGAAAAATGGGGGGAAAGATCACATACCCTGAAATTTTTGAGAAATTTCTTGGCAGCATCATAAAGCCAGGGGATGCCAAAATCGAGATTGCCTACTAAAATGGGGTCGACCAGAATCTTGAGCCCGTTCACATCCCAGAGCCAACTGTTGCCCTCGAGGTAAGTGAGCTTGATGGGCTCAGTTGTTGATGAGACTACAGGAGAAACTGAGTCCGACGGAGCTGAAGAGAGATTGGGGCTTGGTTTGGGGACATGGGTTTTGTTGGGGGTGAAATAGGGGAGCTTGGGATTAGGGTTTTTGGAAGGGAGAGAAGAGAGGAAGAGGGAGGAGAGGGAGATGAAGCGGGAGTCGAGGGCCATGGAATTTTCCTCTTTTTCGGGAGATAAAATCAAGTAAATGACTGTTAGGATCCGGGCGAGAAAAAGCGTCGGCCCATGGATGTTTTCTCAAAAGAAAATCTTGGCCCATGGAAATTTTTGTCTTCTTGTCTCTTGTGAATTAAGCTTACTTTTTGAAGAAATAAGGATAATGTTCAATGAGGGATAAGGAGGGACACATCTTTTGTAGTTCTTATTTGGTTGGAGATGGAGTAAAGGGAGGTACATAGATTTTTAGCTCACTTTACAAATTCTCTCACCTCACTCTTGTGTCCCTCCGAATTAGAGGGATTTTCTCTCTTTTCACTTTGTAGTTCATTTTACATATTCTCTTTCCTTACCTTATTTTACTCTACTTCACCTTACTCTCTAGAAACTCCCAACTAAATAAGATTTTTAATTTTTATCTCTCTCCTTACTCTACCTTCCCTCCTATCGAACCAAGCCTAAAACGTCATCTTGCCAATTACGCTATCAGCTATCAACCATGAGAGTATTATACGCGATCTTTGATATGTTGTGTTCCTTTGATATTTTTAAGCACTTATTCATATCTATATTCATTAGCATTCTTATTTATTTTTGTGAAAATAGTGCAACTTGTTTTGACCGAACAACAAGTAATCCATAATTTACTATGGTGAAAGATAATTTCTCTTGTATTATTCGATTAGCTACTTTTACTTATGGACGGAATGAAACATATATCATGTTTGGCAACTCAATTTAATTTACTAGACTAGATGGAATGCACGAACTTTGCACATGCAAATATCTTAATTGTTTATTTTAGATTTATTTAGTTACTATAATATGGTTGCAAAAAAGTTTATGATTATCATAATATATTAAAAAATTTAGATGTTTTTATGCATAAAGCGGTTATTCATTTCAACATTTTGCATTCCAAAGAAATAGTGAATTATAAAGTCCTAAAATATTAATTATTAAACAGCAATTTTAATGATTTAAAGGACCAATTTCAAAATATTAATGATGCAAGGGGCCGATATTGAAATACATCTTATTATTAATAAAAAAACAAATTCTTGATTTCATCAAAGAAAAATGATAGATTTTTGTATGGTGTAAATTTGATTTCCCGAAAACAGGGAGTGTTCGTTTGTATTAATAAGAAAGCTTATTACAAACTAATAATCAAATGGTTACAACAGAAGCAGAGGGAATGCCCTCTTTGTTTTGTGTGGGGACTTTAGGTGGCTATAGGACGCTTCGCTCGATGCTCGTGTCGAGTTTGCTTCCCTTGGACCGTTCGATCGAGGTTGCTGGAGAGCTTCAGTTCGCAGTAGAAGCTCGAATCGATGGAGTTCGGGTCTGCTTAGTTCGCCGGCGATCGGAGCTCAGAACTAGGCAGTGGTGCTGTAATGCAAGAATCTGCTAACAGCTTGGTCTCAATTACTTTTCTCCAAGTTTTGCGACCTCTCCTCCAGTGCGCTGGAAGGGGCTTTTAAATGGAAGAGGGACAGCTTGACTCATCCTTGAATTATGGGATGTGACCATATCTTCTTCAGAGACGTCTAGCTGCTCCTCGATACCATGAATGGTCATTCGAGGGATTGTGCTTTATGTCCTGTCACCTAAAATGGGAAGGCCCATCCTTGTATATGAGGCAACGGCCGTCTGCTATCCGAGTGGACTTGACCAGCATTAATGAACCACATTTATGAGTTCGCAGTTTGATGAGGTGTCTGTCCGATCACTCGTACTGTGCGTGACCGCCCGGCGTGCTTTGAGCACGGTGCTTTCTCCTTTCCGGTCAGGAGAGGCGGCGAAGTAGGTGCACAGTACTCGAGTGGGTCTAGCCAACTTGCCGAGTGCCGGCGGATCCAGCTCTTGACTCAGACAGCCGAGGTGAGTCGCATTTATGAATGCTCAGGTTGACTCGACACCTGTCCAGTCCCTTCGCACTGTGCGCACTGCGAGCGGCCGTTTGACGGTCCTGGGGTACTGTGCTATCTCCCTTCTTCCTGGCACTCGAGTGGGTTTGGACAGTTCGCCGAATGCTGGCGGATCCGTCTCCTGACTCAGACAGCCGAGGTGAGTCGCATTTATGAATGCTCAGGTTGACTCGACACCTGTCCAGGCCTTCGTACTGTGAGCAGCCGCTTGACGGTCTGGGGGTACCGTGCTCTCTCCCTTCGGGTCGGGAGAGATGGGATGGCCCATCCCAGCGCGTGGGGTAGCGGATACCCAGCTGTACTAGTGCCCTTGAGGTTTGCAGGCGGATTCATCTTTGGACTCGGGCGGGCGAGTCGAGTGAAAGGCGAATTTCCGCTATTCCAACTGATCTCAACTCGTGCAGGCGAGTCGATTATTCAGGCGACTCTGGAACCGAGCACGTTTGACGACCATGCGGCTTACGAGCGTGTGAGTTCTCCTCGCAGGCGAATTCCCCATAAGCCCATAGAGGTATTTTTTTACCGTCTACAAGACCCCCTTCAAAGTTTTCAGACCTAAACTGGCTTGCGTGGGGTCTGAAACACTTTGAATGAAGAAAACTTTGGCGAAGCAAGTGCCTTTGGGTTTCTTTTAGGATTTTTAGCAAACCCTCAGCTATCAACGGGTTTGATGTGCCTTTACCGATCACCGTTTGAATCGGGCTAGCCATACTATTCCCCTCAGTATGATGAGTTGTTGAACAGTTTCTCTTAGGCTTAATGCTAAGATTTCTGCTCTAACCCTTAGCCGTCTGAGGCGTGGGCTTAACCGTTTAAGCGAGATCATTCTATTGGCTTCGCTTGTAATTTTACCTTTAAGGGCGAATGGATCGTCAAGACGAAATTAGTCTTTGGGGAGCCAAATTCCGTGTGACTCGTGGGGTCGGGCCAAGTATCCGCAGGCGAGACCTCCCCTTTTTTGGGGTGGAACCAGATCAGATGGGAGATGGGCCACGTGTTTGCCGATGGGGCTTCGTGCTTCCCAGCTAAGGCGGCACGGTCTCGTCGGGTCATGGTGATCATGATTTGACAACATGATGTCAGCTTCGTGCGTTTCGCCCCACGACGCATCGTGGCCGTGGCTTTCAAACCCTGCCGTTAGATCAAGTCGTGAGTTCTGATTCGGGTTTCGGGCTTTGACCGGCCCGTTCCCCTTTTCAACGGCTCTTTCGCAACTGTAGTACGAGTTGTGAAGGGCAATCTGGGCCGTCGATTTCGATCGTGGCCACGTCTCTTGAACGCGAGCGTCTTGCTTTGCAAGTGCCATCGGGGTCACGCAAGTCTTTTCGCCTTTAAATAGGTTTCGTCCCTCTCCTCTTTTTGAAAGTTACTGTGTGTGAAAACCTCCCAAAAGAGAAAGAATTCCCGCTTCGTTTCAATGGCGCCGAAATCCAAGAGGTGTAAAGTGAGGGGAAAGGGTCCCGGACGCTATTCCGACCGCCTGTCCGCCGGTGCGACCGCCGACGTGCCTGAGGCGCGTTCGGGTAAGTTGAGAAAGTTTGCTTTAACGTTCTCGTGTTGGTCACCGCTGTCGTGCCAGGAAGATGAGTGTTGTTCATCTTGCCTTGGCGGGTTAGGCAATCCCCGTGATCTTGGTAAAACTCCCCCTTTTCAGGCGGATTTTACCTTCATCCGTGTTCGGCGATTCCGGCCTTTATAGGCGAGATTGGTCTCTATTAGGCAAGAGTGAACTCGTCTTCTGACAGGCGAGTTCGATTTTTGTCTAATAAAGGCGAACGTGGCCTATGCAATCGGGTCTCGTCGTGTCTGGCAAATTTCGCTTCTTGACAGGCGGATCTGCATCTGCCTCCTGATTTTTCTTGACTCTGTTTTGTAGTGACCTCTTCCGACCGAGCCCTCCCAAAGGGCGTGGCCACTGGCTTCGCCGGAGGCGAAGGTAATCCGGCGCCCCCCCGATTTCCTTCCCTGGGTCCGGTGCCTGTCTTCTCTGCCGATAAGCCGGTTGGCTTGACAAGGAGAGTCACCGATGGGCACCACCTGACGCTGCGTGAGTTGACCACTGACGCGGTGTTGACTGACGAGGACAGGGCGGAGTTGCCGAAGCCTCAGTTTTTGTTTGGCGATTCCGTCATTGATCCTTCCGTGTTGCTGCTCAAGGAGAGCAGGTGGTTGCGCACAGTGGAGGGGACTCACTATTACCTTCCCGTCATGCCGAGGGGGTTCTCCATCGTCGAGCTACGGTCTTTCGCAGTCCCTCGAGTGATGAACTGGGACTTGACCCCCACTCAGGACGGGGTCACCTATGGCGTCTTTACAGGCTCTACGGCTGGGGGTCCACTCAGGACGGGGTCACCTATGGCGTCTTTACAGGCTCTACGGCGGGATATGGGGTGGAGGGTCTGCGCCCTGGCTTACTGTCCAATGAGCCGCCTGCAGGGGAGTCGACAGCGGTAGCGGAGACCTTTCGTCATCGCTTCTTTCGAGTAGGTGGGAGTTTTCCCCTAAAGGACTTCAGAGCCCCGGGGTGGGTATATTCTGCGCGCTTCTTTCGAGTAGGTGGGAGTTTTCCCCTAAAGGACTTCAGAGCCCCGGGGTGGGTATATTCTGCGCTAGGCAGTGATGCTTGGTGGTCCAAGATCACCGATTGCATCTTGGCTGAGAATTCTGATCTCAGGAATTCGGAGTTGTATGTGGCCATTCAAGCCACTCGACATGGTTTGAGGATTAATGCCTCTCAGTTCCACAGCATCCTGGAACTGTATTGTGTGGAAAGCGGCACCTTCTTCACCCCCAACGGTGAGCTTGGTATTTCCCCTCACGAGATGTATGACGTGTCGGGGCTGCCTCTGGGGGATTTCCCTTACGAGGAGTACGTCCCTGACCAAGAAGAGATCGACCAGCTTTCCGACTGTTCTCCCTTGGCAGTGGAAACTCTGTGGGAGCTGCTCTGCCATTATCACATCTGCCTCAGCACCTTAGGGGCTAGGGATCACAAGGGGAAGAAGAAGAGGACTCCGGGAATCAGTCACAAGAATTGGGCTGACTATCTGTTCCCGGGGAACAACGTCAAAGGGAAGCCTGCCATTCCTCT